GTGGGAATATATTGTGACTGTGTGTCCTATTTGTCTACTTGTCTGTCTTTTGTCACAGTCTCCCATTTGGTCCCCTAGGGAGTGTCCACCAGGTGGGAGACCTGCATAAATACTGGGCAGGTAGCCCTCATTAAACAGACCACTGCTTGACCCTCAACACGGAGCCTTGTCTCGTTCTTGGGGGGATTCACTGTATGCTGTTAGAGACTGATTGCCAGGAGTGTAAGCTGATTGTCTGCTTTTCCTGTTCGCCTGCTAGCAGCTATTTGGGAGGTTCCAGTTCGGGAGTTGGAGTGCTATTTTGTATCCAGTTTGGGAGTTTGGTGTTCTGCAGTAGCTGTGCCTGTATCTCTGGAAAGGGGGCTGATCGCCTAAACGGTTTTTACCCCTTGTGTGCAAAACGGTCCGTTACAATTGGTGGCAAGCGGCGGGATCGTTCCCACAGACTACAGGACAGCTACAGGCAACACCATTCCGTGGATTTACAATTTGAGGGCAACGCATGTCTGAGTACAGCGACCCTAACAGCAACAGAATGGAACCAGCAGTGTCATACGAGGAGGAGGACCTGGATGGTCGGGATGCATTAAGGAAAGGCATCTGGTACCAGGCCCTGGATAATGTACAATACCAGCGGGGCGAGAGTCTCCCCAGTGAAGAGCAGCGGTTGCAGAAGCAAGTGGCCCTGCAGATGCCCTTCCTGGGAGAGCAGCCCCTGGATGAATGGGTGAAGGAATTGGAGCACCGGGTATGGCAGGAGATTTGGCTGGAAGATGCCTACCAGGCGCTCTGGTGGTATGGGGCACAGTACCTGCCCTGGAGAGCCGAGCATGACAAGCCGGAGGGAGAGGAGTTTGATGGTTCTGGCTTGTTATGGGAGGCTTTTTCAGAGCCTGAATTTGGGAACCCTAAACAAGCCCGGTTCAGTGATCTCTTGGAGTGGAGGGAGAGCAGGTATGACTGGGACGACACTCACAACATTAAGCAAGACCTGGTTCACCTAGCAACCCTGGAGTGGGAACTGGAGCAGGACTACCGAGATCTCTTCCACTCCGTTGAGAAGATTCAGCAGGACAGC